TGTTGAACGTCAAAGTGATTGTATTCTTTGAAACATTTTTTAATAAATGTGATAAATTTCAAAATGTAAATCTGGAAACTAGGCCCAAAATGGTGCCCCTTATTGTATCTTGCACAGGTTTTTCAAATCGTGTATTTATGGAACCAAAATCATTTGAAGTAGTTACACCCGAGTGCTCCAGCTTTTCTGTGTTTTCTACCTGATAAAAGATTTTCTGTGGCAGTGTCGTTTGAAATGTCAAAAATCTTATATGAAGTCTTGTGAAAGTGGATTTGTAACAAACAATGGCAGTTTCCTTGAAGTTCAGTTAAGTCACTATACTTAATACTGTGTTAACAAAATGCTTCAAGTGCAGGGATATCCCAAGTTCTGTCTTTTTGCTTAGTGTTATTATGGTCCTAAGTATAAAGTTTGAGCTTGCATTCTCATTTGTTTACACCTCAAGTTGCTGACATGAACACATCTTGTTATTTTGATTTAGGCTTCATTCGTTAAAGTAATAACACCCTTTTCTGCACAAAATTCCATCAGGAGAGAACAAGTAAGAATAAAAGAACAGAGAAAAGACAAAGTTGCAATAGCTGAATAAGATATAGAAAAGCCTTTGGACTTCCATCAGCTTAGGAGCTGTCTCAGTTCTCTGCAGTAAAAGCTGGTTTATCTTTCCTCAATGTTGTAAGCTGTGGCACTTGATTGGCAAGTCTTCACCTTTTATAAGCAAACCAGCCACCCTGTACCTCTTACAAATCAGTGAAAGCATCAGATGACTTGAAGCAGAGTTTTAACCAGAATAAGAATCATCTCAGCAACTCTTGTGAACAGAAACCTCAACTTCTTCTCAGTTTTACCATCCATCAATAATCCACGTTTTCTCCCCCCAACTGTGTGTGTACATGTAGGGGGGGGGGGTTAGAATTTTAATTAGTAGAGTTAAATGCTAATTGTTTCATAATAGTTTACCTGTTGCTAGAATCGATTTACCTGTAATTAATAATTTTTAAATGCAGAAACCTGATCCATCCTTTCTGTTGATCTGGGCTTAACAGACAAATATGTTGGGGAATCCTTTTAAAATCTTAACTTCTGTGATGATCATGGGAATTGTGGCTTGATTGACCCTGTGAGTCATGACAGTATTTTATAATCATGCAAACATACTGAGAATATGGAGATGAATCTGTCCAGAACTACTCTTGGTATGTGCAGCCTACAACTTCTGAATTTTACAGCATTGACAAATTAAGGAATGAATACTTTGGATAAAGGAGTTAAATTCTTCAATTTACTTAGTCCTTTTCATGCATGTCAGTTTATAAAGTTCATTTATCCATTGAGCATCTTGATATATTGGTAATTGTGTATTCAAATTTAAGAATGCTTTAACATTGAGCAAAATACCCTGAATATTTGACTTCATACATTTGGAACTGTGGCGCTTGATCTGTACTATGAAGTTCACTTAAGTCTAAATGCAACTTAAATGTTGATGAACTTCAAAAATAGGCAATTTTAAGAAGTAAAATACCAGGTCAATATCTTGAGCCATGTATTTTGTAATTTTGGCTTTATACATCTAAATGATAATTGTACATTTTTAGAAAACCTTTATTTTTGTAATCTGTCATTTTTTTGGCCAACCGTTACGTGTTATCCGCAGTCTTGACTTGTCTAAGACAAGTTTGTGATGCAACCTCTTTTGAGCACTTGAACAAAACAGTCCTGAAGGCAAGATGAAGCAAAAAAATGTGACTATAACTTTTTCGTACTTAATTTGTTACGCAGATTAGCTAGCAGTCTTGCTCTGGTCACACTTAATTGTGATGTTTTGTATAAGGAAATCTTGCATTTGAATTTTTCACGAGATTTGCCAGGCAAATGCTTTTCCTTTCACTAATGTAAAATCACCCTTAAGATGTTGAGAGTTTGGATGCATGTGATCTGCTAACATGCATCATAAATGCTTATGAATTTAGAAGATGTTCAAGTTTGATTTATACAGACTGTTCAGCTGTTCTAGGACATGTTATGCACATTAGGATAAAAGAGAAAAAAGGCTCAGGAGGGTGCCCGAAGTACAGATTTCTGTTGATAATTGTCTTAATGGCCTAACAGTGATCCTATCATTTCCTGTAAATATCCATAGTGATACGTATTAGATGCTTGCACTTAAAAACAAATTTTCTGCAGTAGTTGGTTATGAATGGTTAGTTAATTTGAGAAATTGATATTGTTTAGTAAAATTGTATTCCGGTTAAGTACCTATCAGACGTGTCAACTGGTATTTTTGTATAGTCGTATTTAAGTTTTGATTCGTAAACAAAATGTGTATAACTTTAAATACATTTCAGAAGGAATTTTGAGTGGAATTGCAACAGCGTAGCAATCGTTCAAAGACTGCTAAGTGACCATAGCATCAAATAATTGTGAATGAAGAAGATGTCCCAGTTAATTTAAAGTCCTAAACTTCATGTATTACAGCACCCAAATATTTCTCAAAGGGATCCAGGGTTTTTACCTCTACTATTTTGGAAGCGTGATGCATGCATGTTTCAAACCATCTATCAATTTAAGGTTTGCCTGGTGGCTGTCTGCAGAATTAGAATGGGAGTAATTCCTCACACTTCAAATTCAAATTTGAAATGCTAAAAGTGGTGATTTTCTTGAAGTTTTGAAATTTAAAATGTCTAGCTGTTTGAAACATCTTTATTTATGTGAAATGTTGTAACTGAATTGTTCAAATAAATGAAAGTCGTTTTAACGTAAGGTTAAAACTATCAAGTTTTGATGAACCTTTAAAGTTGAATGAATGCATTGTGTAGCCTGCTATTGTGGACTGAACTAGTCACTGTACCATTCACCAGTGCAAAAAAGGAATATTCAAATAGTAATTTTTTGAATGAGGTTCAACATTTAAAAGCAGCTGCTCATTTTAAAACTAATACAAGAATGACTGACAAAAAAAATGCCCCATCACTTTTATTAATAAATCTTCCACTATGTTTGTACATTTACAGCACATTTTCAGCAGAAATGCAGTCTCAATTTGACTTCACATTGTATGTAGCAGTTTAATTGTTTTGAAAATAAAAATTTGGCGCGAATATCATCATTAATTAAAACTACAGTTTAAACAGCTTTACATTTTGAGGCATAGATAAATGCCTTATTGTTTTAGAATGCTTTTTTGCCCTTTGCTGTAGTGAGACAGAACAGCAAAATTCTTTAAAACAAAACACTTTTTATGCAGAC